TGTCACATCTGCTGTTGTCACTGATGCTTTTACTCACACACACACACACACACACACACACACACACACACACACACACAAAGAGAAATCACACAAAGAGGAGAAGCTTGATAAATGCACCAATCCTGAACTGAAAATCGAGCAGCAGTTCTGTCAAAACGGACTCATCCCCGGTGCGGTGCGCACGAGGAGGCAGGGTCCTGGGTGTCCAGACAGAGCCGCTCCACACCTGACTGAGTGCGCCTGCCTGGAGAGGCGGGACCGTGACCCGGTTCGACGAAAAAAAAAAAAAAAAAAAAGAGTGCAAACTGTCTGTCAGCCACCGTTCGCTCGGTAACGCCACCGATCATGTCTGACTGCAGGAGGCAGTGGAACCGGGAGGACGAGCTCCCGGTCTACCTGGCGGGGCCCATCACGACCGGACCGAACCAGCGGAAGAGCTACGGAATGTTCAGCTCAGTGGAGGGGGCGTTCGACAGCAAGACCATAGACTTCGACAGCTACGCAGTGGGGAGGAAAGGGAGCCGCACCCCGAGGAGCGGGAGCCGGGAGAGGGTACTGGACACCGGTGACCCGAAAGGGAAGACGCCCGGCGAGGCCCGAGAGGGACCCGAGAGCAACTCGGCCCAGGAGACAAACGGTGCTCGAACCGGTGCGGAAGTCAGCTTCGCACCGGAGAAGGAAGACCTGGATGGGCAGGTACAGGACGGGTGAAATGTGCGCTTTTTATCCGCTCTAAAATAAACAGGCCGACAGTAAACACATGCGGCTGGAACGATTTATTTTGACATGATGCAAATGCTTTAAAATTTTATTTAAGGGCAATAAATGTTTTCTTATCTGTAATTTATTGTGGGGCAAAGTTTCAGCTTAAATTATAAATTGTGCTGCAATGCCGTTCCTATTGTTTGAATTTATGAATGTAGGCCAGAATAAATGACCGAGCCGAGCTTCTGTGGTGCTGAAATGAACAGCGACACTGCTGTGTTTGAGGCGTTTGTGTGCGCGTCTTTTTTTTTTTACGTCCTCCGTGAACGCCTCAAGCTGTCTGCGCACGCACACGTTCGTCTTTGATGTGTGTGTGGCGCGCGCCCAACGCAGGCCAAGCCGCCCGCACCGCACCGCACGGCACCGCACGGTGGCGGCTTCTTCGTTCCTCCGCCTCCGAAACGCCGACAGAAAAAAAAAAGCCAAATATCCCGGTTGTTGTTGTTGTTGTTGGTGGTGAGGGGGGAAGTAAGGGGGACTCCTCAACCCGCCTCTGAGTGGACCGCCGCCGGGTGGGTGGAGGGACAGCGAGACGGAGGGAGCATGTCTGGGGCCGGCTATCAGGGGAATAACTGCATCCCCCATCAGACGGTGAGAGAGGCAAATCCCTGCCGCGAGGCGGAAAGGGGATTAAACTCTTAGTGACTGACAGGGAGCAGAAGGCCTTTTCGTGTTTCAGGTCGCTTCTTTGTGAATCTGTAGCTCCAAGATAAAAAAAGGTGTCAGTTCTGTTTGTGTCTCTGCGGGTCGCGGACAGTGCGCGTGCACAAATCAACTCAGGGGCGCGATGAGTTTAAATAAAGTCTATTGTTACACAAGTGTCTTTCCCTTTAGCCTAATCCGCTTTTTAACATTTTTAAAGAAAGACTGGCACCATGTGGATGATGATAACTGGTTGCCATGGAAACCTTGCATCTTCTCCAATGTTGTTGCTATGCATCCTCCATGGTGGGTGTGGACTAATTAAAGTGACTTTAAAAAAAAAAAACAACAACACTGCCCTGTGTTGAACTAATACAGTTTTAGTAAAGAAAGACAAGCAGAGCTGTGCAGCTTTTCTGTCTGTGAATTGCATGATTATGCAACATGTCAACATGTCAGCTCTTCTTCCTCTCCTCCCTGACAGAGTGAACGGCTGCTGATCAAAGGAGGGCGAGTGGTCAACGATGACCAGTCTTTCTATGCTGACGTCTACATCGAGGATGGGCTCATCAAGTAGGTGGCGTTGGTGGAGATGCCGAGTGCTCAGTCTTGTATAAAGTACCACTGAGTGATATTTGAGTAAAAGTACAAGTATCTTATCATAAAATTACTTTGGTAAAAGTTAAAGTCTCATCTAAGTAAATTACTTGAGTAAAAAGTATCTGATATTTTTTGCGCTTAAGTATCAAAAGTAAATTTCTGACATAAAATGTACTTATTAAAAGTAAAAGTATTGAATAAAAATGAGTGGTTAGATTTTCCAAAATTATATTTATTGGGAGGTGGCCTCCCTCAAAAATGTTTTTCTAAATGACTATTAAAATATTAATACTAAAAAAAATTAGGATGCACTGTTTCAAGTATATACTGTATATATTTAAATAAATATACCACACATCTTCAGGCTACATAGGTCTGATCTGTCCTGCTGGAGTGTGACATATGTGTCATGCAGCTGTGATGGTTTGTGTACAAACTAATACGGTGTAAAAATGTTATATCTATATTTATGTCTCATTCAACCACAGTTACATTCACTCTATCCAGGAGGCACAGTTTATCTTTACAGTATTTCTTTTAATAACAATATGAATAAAAACAAGCAAAAATGAACTAAAAGTAACGACTTTATACTTTTTGCCCTTTTTAAAAAAATGTAAGGAGTAGAAGTAAAACGTAGGCTGAAACATAATTACTCAAGTAAAGTGCAGATACCCAAAAATTCTACTTAATACAGTAAAGAAGTATTTGTACTTAGTTACTTTACAACTCTGCGAGTGCTGCAGGGGTGTTTATGACAATTTTCAAAATTAAATTTGGGAAAAGTGGGGGATATTTAGCAAAATGTACATTAAAAACAAAATGCAATGATTTGCAAATCTTTTCAGCTTTAATTTTCTTCACAATGGATCATAGTGGCCTAAAGTTTGAGGATGTAATGGTTTAGACTAAAGCCTGTGTGTCCTTGTCCTTGGCAGGCAGGTCGGGGAGAATCTGCTTGTTCCAGGTGGGATCAAGGTGATCGAAGCCAATGGGCGCATGGTAATCCCAGGGGGGATCGATGCCAACACGTGCCTGATGAAGCCGTACCTCGGCATGCAGCCGGTTGATGACTTCCTGCAGGGCACCAAGGCAGCTCTTGCTGGAGGCACCACCATGATCAGTGAGCACTCAAACACTTTAATGACACATGCAAGTTTTGAAAAGCCATGCTCCATCTGATCCCGACCTTTACCTGCCGCCCAGTTGACCACGTGACCCCCCAGCCGGGGGATAGTCTGCTGGAGGCGTTCGAGCGCTGGCAGGAAGCGGCAGATAAAAAGGCTTGCTGTGATTACTCCCTGCACGTAGACGTCCCCCAGTGGAACGAGACCGCTAAGGACGAGTTGGAGATGCTGGTGCAGGACAAAGGTACGCTCGTTTTTAGCTATTTTCTACGTAACATTTCAGAAAAGTGCTGATATTCTTCTCTGAATTCTCAATTTGGACACATTTCTGAAGAACGTCAGGGAGAGCTTTAGAAGCCATTGTTGAATCCTCTTACAGTCAACAGAGGAGATTTATTCTTTTCATCAAAATGCTGCTGTGGTGGCAGTGCTTGTAATGAGTTTAAAGTAAAAACAGTTTTCTTTTTGCCCAGCTGCAAAATACAGGAACAATCCAGCTACTAATTACCAGTCATAGAAACTGTCCGCGAAATTGGATTACAGTAAATTTGGTTTCAAACAGATGATGTCTCTTATCACCCTGTCACGATGAACATATTCGTATTCCCTTTGTTTTTAGGTGTCAACTCCTTTCAAGTGCACATGGCTTATAAAGATGTATACCAGATGACCGACTCTCAGGTGGTTTATAATCAGTGATGTCACTGATTGCTGCAGAATTCCTCCTCTTGAGAATCTGTGACCGTCTGTTCCTTCCTCTCACTCAGTCTCTGTTTTTCTGCAGCTCTATGAGGCGTTTTCCTTCCTGAAGCAGCTGGGGGCCGTGGTCTTAGTTCATGCTGAAAACGGAGACCTGATCGCACAGGTGAGCGATGCAGCCTCCTGCCTTCATCCCCACCGTTCAACCTTCACAGCTGCTGAGAACTATTCGAATATATGGTTGGTGCTGATGAGGATGCTGATAAAAGCAGGCGGCGATGATGAGAAGTGTCACTTATGGTCATGGTAATAAGACTTACAGGGGCAGTTAGGTCAGAAATGTTAACCTAAGTGAGAATAAATCTGAGTATTAAATGATTATAGGAGCACCATTGAATTATAATGACACGCTCCAACATAATCATTTTATTGGAACTTCATAGACAAAGAAGTGGAGACTGAACAAGTGAAATAATCCTATGGAAATAGTGCTGCAGAGCGATATTAGGAGAAAAAAAAAAGCATTTTTGCAAGTATTGTTTGATGCTGAGAGAGGTTGTTGGGAATGAAAATATAATTCTAATATGTTTGGTTTAGGAGCAGAGAAAAATCCTTGGAATGGGAATTACCGGCCCTGAAGGCCATCCTCTGAGTCGCCCCGAAGAGGTAATCTTTTTTTCTTTCTAAATGTAGCTTCTTTAATAATTTGTCTGACATAAAAAAAAAATTCCATGTAGTTGGAAGCAGAGGGGGTGTTCCGTGCCATCACTCTGGGGAACCGTGTGAACTGTCCCATCTACATCACAAAGGTGATGAGCAGGAGCGCCGCTGACACCATCACTCAGGCTCGGAGGAAAGGTAAACCTCTCCTCCCCGATGTTCACGCTCAGGTTTTTCCAGTTTCCTTGTTTTCCATCAGCTTGTTTCGATTCTGAAAATGACAACCCAGCTGTCATCCTGCAGGCTCTGTTGTTTTTGGGGAGCCAATCACAGCGAGTTTGGCAACTGACGGCTCTCACTACTGGAGCAAAAACTGGGCCAAGGCCGCTGCTTATGTGACCTCTCCACCTCTGAGTCCTGACCCCACAACCCCAGACCATCTCCACACGCTGCTGGCCTGGTGAGCTTTTACTTACACATGACACATTTTAAAAAGTGGTTCAGTGTGTAAAATCAGTGTTTTATTGCAAGAAGGTAGATTACATCTGCGGGTGGACATGTTTAAAATGTTTTAAATGTAATAAAAGGTGTAGCATTCCTTGAAGGAATACATATGGCCCAGCACATTCATGCAAAAGACACAATCTCCTTTGGTATGCTTGTTTGTCTTTGTGTCTATGGTGTATAATGATGTGATTGTGATGCTATAATTCTGAGTGTTTTATGTGCTGCAGAACAGGAACCTGCTGTAAAACAGCAATTATGCTGAGTCAGGCTTGATTTTTAGTAATCTTTTCCTGTTAAATCAATAAATCAAATCAAATCAAATCAAGTCAATCCTTATTCCAGCAGTTAATGTTTGAATCACAGATCTCTCTCAATCTGTTATTGTTCAAAATACATTATGTGTAGGCGATCAGTCTCAGACATAACTACACAAAGATTCAGCTCAGTTTCTATAAAATTGACTTGTTTCTAGCCATTTCTTTGTTCACTAAGTTTGATTAGTTATGGCAGCCATCTTGAATTGGGAAGACTTCAAATGTTAAAGAGTTGCAGCTGTTTCTAATTATTTTTGGAGAGTTTCATTTAAATCGGTCCACTGATTCACGAGATATTTTGCTAACAGACAGACTCACAAATCCGCACACAGATGCAGAAGTACATTCAAAAACATAAGGACCTGTTTTCTTGCTTTTTTTGGTGGCAGGCAATAATTAAAGCCGCATTTACAGAGTGCTTTGCTTAACTCTAACATCAGTGCAGTGCTGAAAATAAATCACCTGGATGGCAGGAAAGGAGATGTCTGCAGAGATCCAAGTGTTGCCGTTTGCTTTTGCACATAAACCTGTAGTTATAGAAGAAATGTCAGATCAGCCTCAGTGAAAAAGACAAATGGATGTTGGGGGGGAAGGTGAAAGCGAATGTGGAAAGAGAGAAACAACAAACAAGACGAGGTGATGAAGGATTGTAAACATAATGAATTAAGTTAGAAACTAATCTACATTATAACAGTTAGTTAGGATATAATCTAGTAACACTTTAATAGTTAGGAAGAAGATGGTGGCTTCCACCTCAGACATATGCACGCCCACCAGCTGCACGCTTTCCACTGTCCTCGATTCCATAAATAGCACATGGACCTGGAATAAGTTATCATCTGTTGCTGTGGTTACAGAGTTCCTCCCTCCTCTTCCTCTTCCTTGTCTCTGCTCTTCCTCACTTTGTTGGGAACTTCACGCCGGCCGGTGTTAAAACTGCCGCTGGCTTTCAGCCTCCCCTTCGCTGACAGAGGGTTTATTTTAATCACCTTCACAGATATGAGCGCTTTCAGTGAGGCTCATCGCTGCCATCATCAGCAGTCTCTCTTTGCATTAGGGTGATGATCACCCTGCTGAGAATAATCACTGTAATTAATGAGTGAATCATAGGCCTGGTGTCTGACATTTTGATAAACATAGCTCTTCATCAGCGGCGTTTATAGTCTCGTTCCTGGTAAGAGGTTAAATGAATGCTTGCGCTGCTGGTATTTTAATACGGCAGTTTATCTTTATGTATTTATTAATGGAAGCTCCAGGCAGCAGCACTGCAGCTGCGGTGCACCACTCTGACTCCTTCAGCTGGCTGCTTTGAAGCATCAAACCTCTACATGACATGCACTTTAAATCACAGGCTCAACGAGGACACCTGGTGGCCGATTCTATAAATCTCCTTGTCTTTTCAGTAGGATTCAGCACTTCAACTGATTCTAAGGGCCATAATGTTTTTTTTCTTTCTCTTTTTTATCTTCTAAACGTAGCACAAAAAGTAAAGAAATTTATGTATGGTGGATTATTTCTTTCAGTACCCCCCAGGGTGTACTTGAAGCTCCAAACAAGAGTCAACAGCAACAGCAAAATAAGCTATTTGGCAGAGAAGATTTGGCTAATTTTTCATGTGCACATACTCAGCTCTCCTGTGCATTTCACAAATGCATGTTCCTTACAAATGTGGCACCATTTAAAAGGGGCTTTTTCAACAGTATGATATTTACTTCAAGAAACATTGTTACAACAAAGAAATAATCTATCAAACACAAATTCCCTTACTTTTTATGCTAAATACAGTATATATAGATTCACATTAGTCTGTCAGCAAACTACAGCTCTGTCACTTCTCAACATTAGATGATCTTAGTTTAAAACTCTGGCATTAGATGTAGCGGATGACATACTTACCTTCAAGAAATGCATGACCTTCTTTTGCTTTCTTTCTGATTTTGCCCCCTGCAGTTAAAAACAGGTCAGTGACTGCATTGTCCCTGTGTTTCTTGTAAATAGCGGTGACCTGCAGGTGGTGGGCAGCTCTCACTGCGCCTACAGCACTTCTCAGAAAGCAATCGGTAAAGAAGACTTCACCTTAATCCCCGAGGGAACCAACGGCGTGGAGGAGAGAATGGGTTTCGTCTGGGACAAGGCTGTGGTGAGCACTCACAGCATGCGTGCGTGTGTGTGTGTGTGTGTGTGTGTGTGTGTCTGTGTGTCCGTTACTAATATTGACTTCTTGGTTTGTCAGGCCACGGGGAAGATGGACGAGAACCAGTTTGTTGCTGTCACGTCAACCAATGCAGCAAAAATCTTTAATCTCTACCCACGCAAGGGTCGCATCGCTGTGGGCTCTGACGCTGATGTGGTCATCTGGGACCCCGACAGTGTCAAAACTATCACTGCCAAACTCCAGCAATCGGTGAGACCGGAAAGGAAAGAGGGCAGAGGGAAAAGAGAATATGATTAGATGGAGGAGAGGATTTGTACATTACGTCTGGAGAATCAGGGAATCATTATTTTTGCAATTCTGTGAGCCAAATGAAAGCTAACTAATAACTAGACATGGGTTTTTACAATGTAAAAACAAGTGTGCATTGCCATGTAGCATGTCATTGCAGCATGGCTTTGCCTGCAGCATTGGACTTGCAGAATGAAATGTGGCCAAGTTCAAATGTGTTTTCTACCAACTTGTGCTTGTCAAGTCAGCAGGTGTCTGTAATGAGCATAATTGTGTAACAATATGAAGTTTGTAGAGATTTTTTGTTAAAGTCACTGTAGCTGGGTTTTGAACCCTGCTCTCCCAGTTAACTATGAGACCACTGGAGCTGTGGCAGAGGGCACTGCCAGGGTTTGGTTTGTATGTGTGCAGAAAGAGGCCACATTGCCAATGCAATTGTTGACACTAAACTGCAATATATTACAGCAATAGAGCAATATTAGGACAATATTATAGTAAAACATCAAAATACAATCATATTAGTATTGTAACCACTGAACTATTGAGATTAAATATTATTAAACCATGGTTCAGTACTGAGTAGATACAGCATGGGGCAGTATTGGACCAATACAAGGTTCCATTGACTCTCATTATAAATTATTAAACATTAATATTTCAAAAACTATAAGTTGTACAGGCACCAAAAGGCATAGCCGTCATTTGGCACAGGAGCTTTACAGATATAAATTACAATGGCAGCTCTAGGACAAAGTATGCAGGAGGAGAAGTGTGCCAAAGTGGAGATGACTTGGATGGGAAACGAATCACAATAGTGTGCATTGCATTGGCAATGCACACTCATTACAAGATGTCAACTGATATGTTTTTATAAAAATGAGCGCAACAGATTTTTTGACAGCAGAGAAATGTTTTCATTATGTGGAATGATCCTTGGAGCCTTGAAGAGAAGCTCTGATTACTTTGTTTTAGAGTTGCAGCAAATATTTCACAAACAGAAAGATTAAAAAAATGCTTGACAAGGTGACTCTACTGATAAATGCAGCTTGAATGAACTTCTTTTGTAAAATTAAAATGCTATATTTTATATTCAGAACACAATCAGAGGGTAAATTATGCCTGGGTTGATTTGATTCAATGCAGTTTTTGATGTTTTTAAGCTGTTCAGATTCTGGATCCCCTTCATCCCCACTCCACACACAACCACCACCACCATTCTGTTCAGCCATCTTGAATTCATCCCTCTCCACCTTCTCGTTTTGCCCCATCTAAGCCCCGTAACAAAACGGCTTCTCAAATCAAAGAGCTCTGTCTTTTTGTCCCATTGCCTAATCCTCCCCTCCCTTTTCTTGCCTTTGTCTTGAATCTTCTCCCTCTCGACACAGGCTGCAGAATACAACATCTTCGAGGGTCTGGAGTGCCGTGGTGGTCCAGCGCTGGTGTTGAGTCAAGGTCGGATAGTTTACGAAGGAAACAAGCTGCAGGTCCAGCAGGGAACTGGCAGATTTATTCCACGCAAGCCCTTCCCCGACTACGCTTATCAACGTGTCAAAGTCAGAAATCAGGTGGGACTTGTGGACAAGTCTAAAAATCACTTCTGGAGCAAACAAAATTACATGATTCAAAGGGTTTCTCTTAAAACAATTTTGTGGTAAATCCTTTGGATAAATCATTCTTATTTACTTTTATTTCCGCAATCTTAAGAACTCGTTTGACTAATGAGCTAATCTGATCAAATCTGAGACTTTAGTCAACCTACTGACAAAACATCTCTTCAATTTATTTAAAAGATGCTCAAATTCAGCCTTTGTTTCCACAGAACGTGACAACTTGAATGTAAACAAGCCTACAAGCTTCTGAACAATGAAACCTTTTCTTGTTCTGTGTCTGCTCAGGTAGAGAACAAACAGGGTGTCACTCGTGGGGCGTATGACGGCCCCGTGTATGACGTTCCCTTGAACCCCAAATACCTCACTCCTGCCCCGTCAGCCAAAACGTCCCCCACGTCTCACCAACCACCTCCAGTTCGCAATCTGCACCAGTCCAACTTCAGCCTTTCAGGTAACAGGAAGGAGACACTTTAGAACTAAAAAGAATGTTGCACTAAAGAACTATTTTGGTCCAAAATGTGACTTTTGTCTTTATCTCCCAGGAGCTCAGATTGACGACAACATCCCTCGTAGGTCAGGACATCGCATTGTAGCGCCCCCCGGCGGTCGCTCCAACATCACCAGCCTCGGCTAAACTGTGCAAACTTTTAGCTCTTGTGGGGTTTTTACACTTTGAGAGAGTATATGTGTATGAGTGGCGTGAATGAATACCATTGTATGTTGGTAGTATGAAACGTGATGCACTCTTTGATGACCGCTAGCTTTAATCAGTTTGGCATGGTCATTCCTACGGTGAAGGATCAGGGCAACTCAGGAAGAAAACCACAGGAGAGAGGTTTTTTTGTGTCCCAGATTTTATTTTAAAGTTGCTATTTAGAGATAATAGCTGAAATATTATTGTTGCAAAAAAAAAACATATATTCAGTTATCTTTCACTCTGCATGTTGTTCTGATTGCTCCCCACAACAAGCAAGCTCACATGAAAGATTTGACAAATTTTCCTGCACTGGATGTCTTTCCTGATGCACCCTGGGCTTGAACCCCCAGCCCAAGGTTTAGGAGAGCATAGCACCAATCTACTGCAATTTTAACATTGTGACTAAAATGTTGAAACTGGGAAACAAACATAAGAAAAATCCTCCTTGTTGTTTTTTTTTCCTGAGTGACCCTGGTCACATTAAGATTTATGCTTCTAGTTGAAAAAAAAAAGTGTGATTAACAATCAGCTAAAACAATCCTAAACTTCTAACAACCAAACTCAACCTGAAGGGTTTGTTCTTCCTCCTGAGCATGATTTTCCTCCTCACTCTTCTTCACGTCAGTTCAGACACGGTGCTACTTTTCTGCCATCTGGTGGACAGATACAAAAGGACAAATTTATGCTTCTGGCTTCAGCATTTTAGCAGTACTGATTTTATTATGTTGCGGATAGATCAGTTGCACATGTTGCATGGACAAATATTTAAACGGTGCACTAACTGTAGACAATTGTTGGACTAACCAAGCACATAAAACTGCACCTAAAGCACATTTATATCAAACAGCACAAAAATAGGCACACATGCTTTGCAATATTTAACAAATTCCACATATATTTTCAACACATTAATGCATCATGATGTTACTGCAACTGCAATAAAAGCTTTGTGAGTGTTCTACACCAGATTCTATATGCAAATGTGTCATTAATCTCTAAAATGTGACAGTAGAGGGTTAGCTGAATGAAAAGTACTTTAGAATTCAGTTTTAGATCAGTGTCACAGCGTTTGTCCTAATTTGTTGTCACCTTCAGGAATCTATCTTAACGTGGCAAAACACTGAGCTTGCTGCTGTAAAGCTGCTTCAGCTCCCACCAATGCAAAATGAAACTCTACTTTTTATCATTTTCTTGTGTTTTTGTCCCTTATCAAACTAAATCTAGTTGTTTCTTTTTTATTTTCTTACATTTAATGTTTCTGTACTGCTCTACTTTCTGTGCTGTGTTCTGGTGTCTCCAGTGGATTCACTAATTATTAATAAAGACTCGACTTGTCAAAAACAGTATAGAAAGAAAAGCTTTCTTGTGGGGTTAATTTTTACTACATTTTATAATATTCGTTGGTGTTAATAGTAATTTGGATACTTAAGTCTATTCTTGCGCAATCTTTTTTCCTGGCACAAAAAAACGTGCATAATTTTGCCCAAATGTTAGGAATCAAGGAGATAAGTTGTAGGTTTTTTTTTTTTGTGCTTTTTAAGCTCATTTGGCTGTGGCATCCAACTTTAAGTTAATGAGTTGTGTGTATGTGTATGTGTGTGTGGGCAAATTTTTGCTGCATCATGGGAATTGTATTCCAGAAAAGGCAGCCTCGTGGGGACCGAATGTGCATAGTGGGGACCAACGTGGGTTTAGGTTTAGAACCAAGGTGTGAATTGAGTTTAGCTTAGTTTTAGGGTCAGGTAGGTACCTGTGAGGTTAATTTTAGGGTAAATGGTCAGGGTTAGGATACACAATTACCAAAAAATGGATAGAAGTCTTTCCATTGTCCCCACGAGGACATGAAAACAAACCTCTCTCTCTCTCTCTCTCTCTCTCTCTCTCTCTCTCTCTCTCTCTCTCTCGCTCTCTCTCTTAGTGTGTTAGTGTAGACTCATATATTAGCAAATATTGTTTACCATTAGACCCATTTGAATGAAACTCTCAGAAAGTAATCATTGAATGTGCATCTTCAACTAATTCCTTTTTGGACAAAGCCCAATTCAAGATGGCAGCCACAGCTAATATTCAGTTAAAATTGCTGTGGCAGTAGATGAGAGCCATTCACAACACATACTCCAGCAGCTAACAGATCGTGCTCAAATTGCATGAAATTAAACATAGTCATATTTTCAAGATTTGAAAATTTTTTCTTTTTCTTTTCTTTTTTTTTTTTTTGTAATTTGTCACCAAAATATGTTTTCAGTTTAAAACACTGGCATGAAAGGAGGTGGTGAGACCCCCCCCCCTTTTTTTTTTTACAGAACTATGTTCTCTTTTTTCTTGTTTGTCTCCATTATTGATTGATTTCACATTTCATGAAACACGAGCACTGTGTCGCTGTTTTAAGAGTTAATAATCACGACTTGGCTGTGCCGTCTGTGTGACGAGGGCGACAGCACTCACTACTTCTCTGTTCAACACTTTGATCTGGAGAAAGATGTTTCAGTTAATAACCTTTGAAATAGTGTTTTGTAAGAACCTGTTCCTTTTCCTATTGATTTTATGTCCTCTAGAGGATGAAGATTTGTGTTCACTGAACTTCAATCAAACTGTTACCTGTAGCCCACAGTGGTCCACACACCAGTATTACACCATATGATGCGTTTGGGAGAACTTTGCGATTGGGATGCTGCTGTGAGACCTGAATTTCCCCTTGGCGGGACAATAAAGGCTATTCTATTCTATTCTATTCTATTCTATTCTATTCTATTCTATTCTATTCTATTCTATAAATATGTTTGGAAATACCTGTATTTCATTTTCTGATGTGTGAGTTTCTTCTGCTACAGGCACTAATACATCCACATACCATCAGAGAGGCAGATGTTTGAACCGTGTGCTGATGTCAGATGGTCCTTGTCGTTTTTAGCATGGATGATGTGAAATTTCTGATTTTCAAAAATAATTTTAAAATGTGATTTCTCTGACCTCAAAAACATATTTTTACATTTCAGTGATCCATGAGTTATTTTGCTAACACTACAGACAAACGCACACAGGCAGACACACATGGGCAAAATCACTTTTGTCATTTGGTTTCAGGCAAAAATAAAAAAAATATATACATTTTCTTAGTCTAAAATACAAAAGTTTGCCATTTATCCTTTACTCATGATTTGACAGCGAGAAAAAGCCTCAAGATTTCTTGGGATTCCTCGAAGCTTGTCTCAGCTTTCCTTTTGAAGCGAGTCCAGCTCTTTTTGTTGTTGTTGCCAGAATCGATGAAGCTGCTGTAGGTTGGCTGGGTTGCTCCAGTGCACATCTATTTTCAAACCTTTTTCATTCAGTACTTGAGGCTCCTTTCTTTCTTTTTAACTAAAAATAACTGGGCCAAGACAGGCAGCAGCTCGGACAGAAGACCTCACAGAAATGCACAAACAACACACACGATACAGTTAGAAATATGGAAAATTAGTGAAAAATAAAATAATAATAGAGGCCAAAGTGTAAAGAGAACATTTTGAGGCTTGCCTGTAACTAAAGAATGTTGGTCACTCATGTTTGGACTGCATATGATTTCCTGGCTTCCGATCCTAAATCCTGACATCACCTCCATAGAGCCCAAACACCTGCATCCCGACCATGCTCTGACAGCAAACCCAAGGAAATGAGCTTCTGAGGCTGAAATCGCACATTCATTTTACCACAGCAGGAAACCAAGAAAGTAACTTGCGCTGAAGTTTAAATACCTTCAAACGATTAAATGTGAAGATAGAAAAAAAAAGAGCTTTTTTTGGAAACAATGCTTCAAACATGCTGCAGAACTCAACATGTTGTTTCCCTACTACTGTTCCCTCAGGCTCCTGCTGATCTGGTCTACACAAAACAAAGAAAAAATTGTTCACAGATGGTGAGGAAATTCAAAATTATAAAAGATGTAAGGCCCAGCATTTGTTGAAGGAATGCACATTACCGCTTTTATGGTAGAGTTTACACTGTACTCATCTTCTTCTAAGAAATGAGTAAAGTAACAGTTTAGGTCAAACTTTAACACTGATGATTGCTGTTGTGTGAACTGATTAAATTTCAGCTATTACATCAAAATTTAGCCCAATATTATTTGTGTTTGCCAACATAGATTAGCGTTAGACTTACCATCCATCCATCCATCCATCCATCCATCCATCCATCCATCCATCCATCCATCCATCCATCCATCCATCCATCCATCCATCCATCCATNATCCATCCATCCATCCATCCATCCATCCATCCATCCATCCATCCATCCATCCATCCATCCATCCATCCATCCATCCATCCATCCATCCATCCATCCACCTATACCCACTTCTTCCTTTCAGAGTCATGGGGGTCACTGTGCAAGTGGCGGTGTACACCATGGACAGGTTCTAAGTCTATCTCAGGACTACATAGAGACAAACAACCATTTCCTTACGCCTAGGGACAATTTAAAGTTACCAATTAGCCTGACATTCATGTTTTTGGTCTGTGGGAGGAAACCATACAGAGTTCCCCAGCTGGGATTCAATCTGGCAACATTCTTGCTGGGAAGCAACAGCTACCAACAGAGCCACTGTTCAGCCTCTGCTTTGGATTTACCCCAGAAGTTAATCGCTATAGAGACACGTCCAATAATAACTTTCTGAGAGTTTCATTAAACTGTGTCCAGTAGTTCGTTAGAGATTTTGCTAACATGGGTATGGTTTTCAGCAAGGCTAAAGTGATTATAATTATATAGATATGCATTTTTGTTGCTGTGGTTTTGTTATCTTTGTTCTGTAGGTGTGGAGCCAAGAAGTCCGGTGTGCTGTCTTGTGTTTTCTCAACATATATTTTACATATCTTCTAATCTCCTTTTCACTCTCTCATTACATTTCACTTTTTTCTTTCTTCTTTTTCTTCTATTAATAAAAAAAAAACATTTCATTATAATGGTGTGGAGAGGATGGCTATAAGGGGAGAAGGGAGGCCATCAATAAAAAAAAAAAGAAAAAAAAATAGATTTTGCTAACAGACAGACAGGGTTGACTTTATCTGTTAATCAAATATTTTACACAGTGAGTTGCTTTGTTTTTTTGATTTGTAACCATTTAGGAAATCTAGTTGTATGTTATTATTTAAAGATAAAACGCCAAAAAACAATGAAGGTTTTACAAACTCTTAAATAAATCTTAACACCTTTATTCATTAAGTTCCGTTTCCCAGTTTTTAAACTTCAGATTGATGATTTTAATTCAGAACCTCTCTGTTATATAGTGTTGGCTTAAATTGTTCTTCACATTTATTGATTTTTTAAATAATTTTCACCAAATTTTGACTTAAGTTTCATCTGCTTTACTTTCACAGAATGAATCTTACAGTCTGCAGCTCTTGGTTGTAACAATCTCTTTAGTCCAGTTGGTGTCCATGTTGAGCTGAGAAAGTAGAACTATACTAATTTGCCTCAGAAGATGTAAACGCGGTTTATTTAAGTTAAAAAATATATACAGGTATAATCTACTATTATAAAGTTGAACTCAACTTAAACAAAAATAAATCATTTGTGAAATGACACACAGTTTACATAAAAGGTTAACAACTAAATATCAAATGTGTAACAGAGAGGAGCGAGGAGGAATAGAGACTGAAGCTTTTCTCTCACTTTAGTGTGTGTTAAAGCTCCTGACTGACTGGGTTGATCAAAAACAGATTGATTTTACCTTTTTGAAATTCAGTCAGTAGATTTGGTCGCCCTGGATTTACCAGAACTCAACTTCTAGTTTGTATTTGTGAGACTGACACTCTGTCTAGTTGTGGGACCAGGCTTAAGATTTTCTTTGTTGATAAATCCTATAGTTAGGTTTGGTTTGGGTTACCTGAACTTTCCTTTAAGTTCTGCTGCTATATGAATAGACTGCTGGAGGACAAACTGACCACATTTCCTCACTCTGCTGCTGTTTTTACTTTTTTATACTCTTTATTTCTCTCTCTAAGTACCATGAGGGTGTTGGAGACCATCGTTCTGTATTCTAGTCTTTCACGAGCTGCAGGAGTCTGGTAGGTGTTGTGCTCATAAAATGGCTCAAGCTGTCCATCAATTTCTCCCTCTTATCTAAAACTTCTTCTTCTTTTATTTTTCCAGCTGAAACAAGATGTTCTAATCCTTCTCTTCTCATCGTGTCCAAAAAATCCTGGCCTGTCCCAGCATGATTTCTTTGTAAAGGGATCTTTTTTTTCTCTCTTGCTAACAATTATTTATTGGTGACTCTGTTGATGTAAGAGACCTTGAGCATTCCTCTGAAGAACTATGAACTATGAACTATGCAATGTTTGTGTAAACTGTTACACTTTTGTTGACACTCCAATTCAAGA